TAACCTCTATATACCTAACCTCTATAACAGTCTCCTAGGCTGAACGATGACATAAAACGTCTATTTATTACTGATTTCTAAACAAACAGTACTGTACTGTGTGACCTACACTTTGCATGTCAAATTACTTTGTCATTTCCTATCAATACCGTTTTATATAATATACCTTACAAACCATCTAAATTATGCCCATTGTGTACAGAGTAGTACTGTATGCAGAGGGAGCACTACGTTTTGGAAATTTGAATGCAAATATAACAGCATGCACGGAAAGTTTTAAAATGCGAGATTCCTCAGTGTCTCGGCTGGTTGCCGAGACAATGTTCCCAAGCCAAGATCGACTTATAATATTAAATATATAGTCTACACTTACACTTAACAAACATTAGCCTATATATTACTAATATTTTTATTTTAATATGATTTTATGTGATCTAAATCAGAATTTATACAGTATTCAGTATTGTTTTTACTCGTCGTTTGCGAGTTTCCGCGATCTTTCTGAAAGGTCCAAAAACACTTACCAACTTGGTCATCCGAAACCGCGGATGTCAAATGAGATAATCTACAAGCATTGCCACATTATGTTTTTAGATGTGTGCATGTTGAAGATCACATGTCTTATTTTGAGCTGTAAATAATTCGACTGGCAAGGAGCAGGTGTTGTACAAACACTGCAAGGAGTGTGTGATACACTCCTCTTCAAAGTAAAGAATTCCAAACAAGTTTAGCTTAAGTTTATGCTCTATGTTCAGGCAGGTTTTCACTATGCAGACAGATGTGTCCCCAATGCCTGCACTGTATTTCCAGCTTAACATACACTATTGTCAAAAGTATTGGGACACCTGCCTTTACACACACATGAAGTTTACTGACATCCCATTCTTAATGCATAGGCTTTAATATGGAGTTATTTAGTTTGTTAAACAAAACTGAACACACTAGGAACACTACAAAATAAGTGGACCGCGAGCGGTAAAAAATAAAAAGGGGAAAGACAAAGACTAATTTCAAAAGGTCGGGGCAACAAGGAGCAGGCAGGCAACAAATAACACACAGGGTAACCACAAAGACATGGAAAAACACTTTATAAGCTACAAGAAATTCTACGCTGACAAACATCAACATCACTGACATACATCAATGACTCCAGGAGGAACAGAACAGGATCAGGAACTTAAATACAAAAGGTTAACAAGGATAATACAGGACAGGCAAAAACAATTAACCAATTGCAGGGTGCAGGACAACGAGCAATCAGGGCAGAATACACAAGGGCAGGCACAAGAACAGGCAACAGGTGGAACTGATAATTAACTCAAAGAACTCAGAAACTAAACAGGGAAACTAAGAACTGACAAAGAAACGATGAAACAGAAACTAAACACTGGGAAAATAATGGAGGCAGGTAAAACAGAACCAAGGCAAAGCAAAAAACCCAAACTGAAAAACAATCCACAGAATGTCAGGAACTAGAAAATAGATACAAATGAAACACAAGGGAATAAAATCTACAAAAATACAAAAACAGAGGAGATGGGAGTTAAAGAATGAGGGTTATACAGTTTGCTGCACACTCAGCTGATTGAGCCATGCGCCCTTCTGGGGAAAAGGGGGAAACAAACTAAAGACTGACGGGGAAGGCAGGATGGCCAGCGACACCTGCTGGCCAAACAGGGAGAAGACGAAAGACTCGGACAAACAGCTTCTAACCCTGACACCACTGCATTCAACTCTTTGCATTGTACTTGGTGATGTAAGGCTTGGATGCAGCTGCTCGGCCATGGAAACCCCTTCCATGAAGTTCTCTACACACTGTTCTTGGGCTAATCTGAAGGCCACACAAAGTTTGAAAGTCTGTAGCTATTGCAGACAGTTGGCAACTTCTGCACATTGTGCACCTCAGCATGCATTGTCCTCGCTCTGTGATTTTACGTGGCCTACCATTTGTGGCTGAGTTGCGGTTGTTCCTAATTGCTTCCACTTTGTTATAATACCAATAACAGTTGACTGTGGAATATTTAGTAGCAAGGAAATTTCACAAATGGACTTATTGCACAGGTGGCATCCTATCACGGTACCACGCTAAATTCACTGAGCTCCTGAGTGCGACCAATTCTTTCACAAATGTTTGTGGAAGCAGTCTGCATGACGAGGTGCTTGATTTTATACACCTGTGGCTATGGAAGTGATTGGAACGCCTGAATTCAATGATTTAGAGGGGTGTCCCAATACTTTTAGCAATATAGTGTACATTGCTAATTTGCTGAGGTGATGCTCCATGTTTAAGCAGATATTCGCTGAGCAGATGGATGCGTCCCCAGCGCCTGTAGATTTTCTAGCCGTACAATGAGGGACTCTGAAAGTGGGACTACTGTATGAACTTCAGGTATGCTTCCAAGGAGCCATTTTTTGTGAACTCTGGATGTTTTTATATTATATTACTATATTTATTATTTATTATAAATATAGATCAATGAATGGAATCACAACCAGCAGAGAAATTTGACTTTCGGTGATGAATTTGTAATTGCAAATTAAGATTGTCTGTTGCTCTAAGCCATGTATTTCTTACAAATGTCAGGAGGCTGTACTGGATGAGTGCATACACAAGATGGATGTGTGGATGGAGGGTGGCTTCACAGATGTTATCTTTAATGCCGTGTACATCATTTGTGTGTAAGGTGTCTACCATGACCTTTCTCTCTGATCCTGGCTCAATCAGTCGACCTTACGCGGTGAAGACATTCCAGTAACCATGGTAACCATGCCAGTGGGATGGCCTGGCAGCAGGCAGGCAGACCCTTCGTGAACTCTGTCTGTTGCTGCTCTGCTGCATCCTAGTGTGCTGGGGTGAATGCGAGGAGGCTCACGCATTCAGTTTGGCCCCAAGAGTTATGAAAGGCTGTTTGTATGCTGGGTTTCTTCATCAACTGGCCAAATTGATCCTCTAAGCCCAAAGGAGGAAAAGCACAACTGTTCAACCTATTTGCAGATTTTTTCCTTGTGGACAGAATCATATGCAACACCACAGCATCATCTCTCAACAGCAATAATAAAAATTCTCCATTTCAGCCCCAGACCGGTATTATTGTCCTGTGACGTCTTGCATTAGCGTTACATCCTCCATGGTTTCTTTCTTTCGGGAAAATTTTGTGTAAATTACATAATTACATTCCAGAACACAAGGAAATATAACAGGTCAGGTTCCCTTTCTTGGATTTGATAGATTTTGTTGGCAATCATTTTTAGTCAAAAGACCAATATAAATTATGTGCCTCATTGAACATGCTATTTAGAACAGTCACAGAACATGCTGACCCATAGGAAATAACCTTCACAGTAGTAGTGATAGAAGTAGTGGTTGAAATGAAACTACAGCGCATATGATATCTGATATGGCTCCATGATAGTGCTACTGACCCATTATCTAAAATGTTGTCAATATAATAATTCTATATTTATATATAATTCAATTATAATGCAGTCAAAAAAAATAATTTTACACGTATTTCACCTTCATTCTTGCTGTGTATCTTTCTCTATTTTCATACACATGCCTCAGAATTAACAGGGATTTATGTTTTTTCATGAACAGATGATCACATGAATGCACTCAAGCCGTGGTCACAAATGATGTGGACATGAATAAGTAAACAAATGAATGCACTCAAGCTGTAGTCACTGATGATATTGACATGAATCGATGAACACATGAATACACTCAAAATGCAGTCACAGGTCATGTGGACATGAATCCATGAACACATGAATGCACTCAAACCACATGCAGTTACAGATGATGTAGACATAAATATCTGAACAGATGAATGCACTCGAACCGNGCACTCACACCAATGTCACAGATGATGTGATCATGAATAAACACACAAATGCACTCACACCAATGTCACAGATGAAATCGACACAAAGTACTGGGATGAATGGGATTTTACATTTACTGACCCATTTTCAAAAAATAAAATTACATTATTCCACCCTTTGTTAGTTTTCTGAACAACATAACATGATTGATGTTTTATGTTACATTATATTTATGAATTACTATGTTCCATATTAATCTATGAAAATTTTCAAATTAAATAAAAAAAATCCTTTTAATGTATAAATGGAATTAAGATTTTCAAAATGCTTTAAAAAAGTTGAACCAAAGTAATTAGTTGTGAATTGTAGGTAAATAATGGTTAATGAATATACTGTAACTAAGACTTTTAATTACTGTCTCTAAATTTTCTCCTTTCGAGACCTACTGTATTTGTGTTTTTATTTCTGTGATGATTTGTCACAAATATCGCTGATAGTTTCAGTGTTTGTGCATTACTGTACATTTCCAGGTGTTACTGTGCTTAGTATAACAATGTTACTCCCCAGCACGGTTAACTCCTGTACAACTTTTCTGCATTTCTAAACAACATTTTGGTATTCCGTGCCGTGTCTGTAAAATAACGTTTCGGACAGAAATTGTTCTTCTACGTCTACGAAAACATTTTATTTGTGATCTGCATAATATGTCTGTATCGTGTCCATGGTTACAAAGAGACAAATGTAGGTATTTGTAGAATATATTGTAAAAAGCATCTGCTGTTAACAATAAGAATATGGTACCCTGTACCCATCACTATAAAAACAAACGCTTATTACAATGAAATTATCAGTATGTTTTATTTGCGAATATAAATTGGTTGTTAGTAATAAAATCATACATACACTGAGACATGCATATTAATTTTCATAGCTAGTTTTGAATAAACTTCTGGAGAGATCTTATCAATGAAACCAATCAAATTATTAACCAAAGCTCCATTATATGTGTGCCAGTTTGTTATTTATCCAGTTTCAGTTTATTAATTTTTAAAATTACTATTATTGTATTTTTTCTAAAGAGTCATGTTTAGTTTATCGATGCTGTGAAGACATGGGTTTAGTGATCCAGCACAATACATAAAATACATCAAATTAAGCAAGAAATATTCGCTTACCCATTTGGTCTGACGCTATGCTTCGCTTTGAGATTATTCCAAACCTTGATTTCCTGTTTCAGAATTCATTTGGTGAAGTTTGAACCTCCAGAAGACTTATACCTGTCCTTGGTGCTGCAATCGACTTGACGCGAGAGAACACCAGATTCCTTCAGTTTAAATATAATGGTAAATGGCTCTCCCTTGAAGTATTTTAAACGGAAACGTTCAGGTATCTGATGTACAACATTCAAGCGATGGTAAGCGTATCACTAAAACAACAGCATACTGCGATTAAATAAATAGTAAGACCTCGCTTGCTTTTTGTTCCGTTATATATTTGCCATTAGTTTTATATCTTCTTAATGCACAATGTCGATTTTCCTGAAAAATGTGGAAATCCTTGTGACAGGTGGCAGAAAAGTAGCGCTTCTGGCGGCTGGATCTCTTTTATCGGTGCACAGACCGATTATTCACACAATCATGCTGCTTCGTGTATTTCTTAGCGCAAGAGATTTTGAAAGCATGAGTACTGTACATACGTTATTTCAAAATTGCAGTCGCTGTCAGTTTTCTCTCTGGGCGTCATATGACTAAAAAGCAATCAAGTTAATCAAGTTTACCTCAATCTTTTTCCCATCCAAAATAATGTTTTAATTAAAAACTAATTAATCAGCAATGTAGATGGTCTTTGGCACACATTTCGGAGCTCTGCACAGAACAAGTGAAACGTGCTATGAAAACTTGCTAAGTCGAACTCTAGAGATTCCGAAGCAGCAGTAATCCTAGGATGACGCCTTTCTATTTCTGGTTCATCTACAAGACTTGGCTTGGTCAGTTTGCTCAGGGAAAGGACGTGGTGGCTCCCGGTTGGGTTATCTGTCAGCTGGGGAGCAGACACTCAAATAAACATCTGATCTGAAGTATACCCATTCTCACCTCCAAAATGTGAGGCATCAAATCCCTTAAGATTTGCCGACTTCAAGAATTAATTATTGATAACATCTATGTAACTCTCCCGACCATTTGAGTCTATGCGTTACTTTAACTCGCCGGTAAATAATGAAATCTGCAGGAGGCGACCTAGCAAGTGCAATACATGTAGGGTATTGTAAATGTGTTAGGATTCATCTGTCTTACACATAACCTAAGGAGAGTCATCCGTCTTAATAAACTGCTGCTCCGTTTGAGTAATATAAAAAAGCTTTACTGAACAATACACTGGCAAATACTAATTTGGTTGTTTCAAAGGATATATAACGCCCCATTCTAATAAATAGGTAAAATGAATATGTAGAATATTTAGGCATAAATAGCCTACAGATATATGTGCATTTGTGACGTGGTCAAAACGCGCATAAGCATATCCCTTTTACGTTAAAACATGGAGGCTAAAACTAAAGTCGAATGTTATATTATATTATATTGTATTATATTATGTTATATCACTATACTTTCTGGGCATTTTACAAAAGAGCTTATATAGTATAAATATCTATAAGATTCAACAGAGTAGCTCTGCCAATAAAATGTGCAAAACAATCACTTTTGAAATGAGCTGTCCTAAATGATACCAGGAGATATTTTTCAAGTTTCATGTGAATTGAAATGTATTAGTAGTGGTCCCTTTCATTGTTTTCCAGGGCCAGCTCTGAGTGTTCTGGTGCCCTATTAGAGATTCTGCTTAACTGTGCCGAGAGGTCTGAGGAGACAAAAGAAAATGACTCTTTTTCCAAATAAACCATCAAGTGTATGACCTCCTAAAATAGTGTCCCTGTCTGGAGAAAGATTGCGTGCCTCCTGGATCTTTAACTTTAGTTGGAAGGAACTGATAATATGGGGCTTCCGATAGACGTTTCTCTATCCAGCCCATCTATGGAGTAAAGGATATGCTAGATGCATGGTAACAATGGGGATGAGGATATGGGGATGTGGAAGAGGATATGCTGGATGAGTGGTAGCAATGGGGATGAGGATATAGGGGTGTGGAAGAGGATATGCTGGTTTAGGGTGGTAATAGCGTTGAGGATATAGGGATGTGGAAGAGGATATGCTGGATGAGTGGTAGCAATGGGAATGAGGATATAGGGGTGTGGAAGAGGATATGCTGGTGCAGGGTGGTAATAGCGTTGACGATATAGGGATGTGGAAGAGGATGTGCTGGATGCTTGGTAGTAATGCGGTTGAGAATATAGTGATATGGAAGAGTATATGCTGGATGCATGGTAATAATGGGATTGTCTTGTATGCTGGGTTACAGAGCGTGGAAGCAGCACAGGAGCCAAGGAAATCTGGTGAACACACGTTTATTCTGGGAAAACACACACAGGAACATGAAGCGACATTAATTACCGGACAGGGGAAACATACTCTAACGTGGAGTTAGATACACAGAACTAATGAAACACAACGAGAAACAGCTGATGACACAGGGATTCAACACGAGGACACTGGAGGAGGTGAGGAGGGAGCAGAAGCCGCAGCAGGCGAAGGTGAAGCCACAGCCAGCGAAGGCGTAGGCGACCGAAGAGGTGGAGCTGGGGGAACTGCAAGCAACCGACAAGGCATCGGAGGTGGGACCGCAGGTACCTTATGAGTCACCACAGGGGGAACCGCAGGCGACCGTTGAGCACGAGCCAGGGGAACCGCAGGCAACTGGCAAGCAGGAGCCGGGGGAACTGCAGGCGCCCACTGAGCCAAAGCAAGGGGGACCGAAGGTGAGCTGGGGGGCAGGGCGGGCGGGACCCAACCCTGGCGCAGGTGTCCTCTCCCTCTGTGGGACACCAAGAGATGGGGTCCTGGCTGGGATCTGCCATGATGCAGTGGCGGTCAGGGTGACCCACCAGAGAGGTCCTTTGGGGCAAGAGTCAGGGAAATCCCCAAGGGGTCCCACTCAAGCTCCGTCTCCATCACCACCAAAGGGGTGAGGAGCGATGGTCCGACAATTAGTGACCCCCTCGGGAATGGGAGCTGGGGGCACGGGAACTGGAACTGGAGAATCAGGAACCAGGGGAGCAGGAACCAGGGAATCAAGAACCAGGGGTTGTGCCTTGGGTGCAGGCTTGGTTGGGGGTTGTGCCTCGGATGCGGGCGCAGCCGGGGGTTGCGCCTCTGTAGCGGATGTGCCTAGGGGTAGCGCCTCTGTAGCAGGGGCTGGCAAAGCGGCGGTGGGGAGATGAGCCTCGAGAACTGGAACATGGGAGATGGAGCACACCAGGAGGTGCGCTTCTGTGACAGGTGTGAGGAACACCACCAGGTCCAGCACAGTGAGGTAAGTTCCCCTAGGAGCTACAGGGAGGCAAGTGGGATTCGCGTCAGGGTTGGCTGGACTCTCCGAGGACTCCGGAAGAATCGTGGAGGGGAGGCAAATGAGATTTACCTCATGGTGCTCGACCCGGCAGTGTTCATAATGCCTGGGTCACCAGCCTCGACCCCTCCTAAGTTGGCATCAGAAATCCTCGCTGCTCCCAAGACGCCCCTCCTCCGCGTGCCCTTCCCAAAGGCGCACCTCCTGATGTGATCCATTTCCCTAGCCCCAGTTCCTATGGTTCCTGCTCCTGCTTCCTTGACTACAGTCTCTGCTCCTGCTTCTGTGGCTCTAGTCCCTGCTCCTGCGACTCCAGTCCCTGCTCCGGCTTCCATGGCTCCAGATGGCCCCAGTTCCGTGACCCAGTCCCTGCTCCTGATCCCGTGGCTCCAGATCCCATGACCCCAGTTCCTGACCCAGTCCTTGTTCCTGATCCCATGGCTCCGGACTCAGTCCCTGCTCCTGCTTCCGTGGCCCCAAATCCTGAGACCCCAGTTCCCAACCCAGTGGCACCAGATCCTGTGACCTAAGTTCCCGACCCAGTCCCTGATCCCGTGGCCCCGGACCCCGTCCCGGTTCCTGAACCAGTGGCTCCAGCCCCAGAGACACCCTGACCACCACTCCTTCGCCGAGGAAGAGGACACTTACGCTAGGGTCAGGTTCCACCCACCCTGCCGTGGGTTCGCCTTCAGTCACCCTTGCTTCCATGCGGCAGTCAACTGTGGTTCCCCCTGGGGTGACTTGTTGGTCATCTGAGAGCCCTCCTCCGACACCTCATCGGTCGCCTGAGGTACCCCCAGCTCTGCCTCATCTGTCGCTGGTGCCTTCGCCGGCTGTGGCTTTGCCATCGCCTGTGGTGGCTTCTGCTCCTTTCTCGCCTCCTCCGGTATCCCCTCTGCTTTCCTCCTCCCCTCCTCTGGCAGTCCCTCCGCCTTCCTCCTCACCCCCTCTGGTGTCCCCTTTGCCTCCTGCCTTGCGGTCGCAGAGGGTCCCTCTGGCTCCAGCCTCACGGTCACCTGGGATGCCTGCTGCTCCTGCCTTCTGTCTGCCAGGGTTCCTTCTGGCTCCCTGGTTCCGCCAGCCCTTTTCCTCTTTGTCCCCTGTTGGGGTCTCCCCTGTGAGTGGTTCTCCCATCTTTGCCCCGCGTCTGTTTGGTTCTCCCTTGCTCCTGCCTGGTCCCTGTCCTCAATTCATTGGTGTGCCCCCTGCTTTTGATCCTCCGTTGTTTCCGTTCTTGGTGTCCTTGTTCGTGTTCGTGCTTTGTCAGTTGCTGTCTGGGTTCTTGTCCCTTATGCCATTGCTGTTCCCCTTGGTTCGTTGATGTCTCTTGCCTTTGTTTTCCCCGGTGCTGTTGTCCTGTTGTACCCTGAGTCCCGTCGTATCCCCAGTTTCGTCCCTTCGGTCCCTTTGGGGGGGGGGGGGGGGGGTCCTGTCATGCACTGATCATGCCGATCCTCTTGTATGCCACGCCCCCTCATGTGAAAATCCCCATGTTATCAGCTGTTTCTAGTTGTGTTTAATTAGTTCTATGTATTTAGATTTGTTTCTGTGAGTGATTCGTTAGTCCACTCAATAACGTTGTGATGTCGTTTTATGTTCCTGAAGGTGTTTTTCCAAATTAAACCCCGTGTTCACCCGACTCCTTGACTCCTGTGTCTGGACAGCGCCCTTCATCAACAGAAGTGACCACTGTAGTTATATACTATTAGCACTTATGTCCTATTTCAGTCATACACACAATACTGTCAAACCACAATCTGTAGATATGTTGTTACTATATTTGTGTGTGCAAAATACTGTGTAATGCATTGTTATTACCTGATATTGCTAACAATGGGAAGAATGCACCTAGCTAGAACTGGGGCCTATTTCAGAAAGCAGGATTTCTTGCTTAGCTGAACAACTTTTCATATTTGAGGTAGTCTGGGCTAAATGTAAGAGAAATAAGATAAAGGCCATTTAAACTGGGGTACCTTAAATCACTTATCCAGTTATGCAAGAAAACCTACTTTATGAAACAGGTCCCTAGTATTTATGAATGGCTTTCTGACTTGCTGTACTGGAATGCGGTTAACTCAGGATTGATATAATTCCCAGCTCTGACTTCTGACCTCGGAGGTGAATGGAAGGCAGCATATATTCTTCTTCTTCTGCTTATTAATTACACTGGTATACAGTGATTTTGGTGCCAATGATGTCTGAACGGTTTTATATTACGTTTATGGTGCTGATTAAGAATATGACTTCGGTTTTGCCAGATTGGCTCTAGTTTCTGAGATATTTAATAGTTAATTAATTAATTAACTAACACAACACGTTTGAAAAGCATTCAGAATTGCAAGAATATTTTTATTTTAGTTATAACTAGTAAGTAAACAGTCTAACATCATACAAAAAAGAAATTAAAAATATCTAACAGTGACAGGAAAAA